TTCGTTTAAAATGTATGTGTACATGATTCTAACTGCCATGCAATGACAACGGACCAGCCAGTTACGTAACAACGCCCAATGTTCTTGTCCGAACGGACTAATGAAATATCAGATTGAAAACAAAGACAAGTCTCGTAGTCTTACATTCATTAGTTGTTGTAAGCTATCATTTTACCTTGTCATTTTCACATACATTCATGCTAATCTGTTTTTGGTATTTATTCATGTACCCAGTATACCTCGTACGAGACGACCAAACGGATGTTCATGTCAATCACTGGATTGTCTGGTCCAGACACGATTATTTCCAAACCGCCATAGTAAAAGGCGACTATGCTTGTCGTAAGAGGCGACTAACGGGATCGGGTGGTCAGGTTCGCTGACTTGGTTTGATACATGTCATCGTATCCCAATTGCGTAGATCGTCGCTCATGATGTCAATCACTGGACTGTCTGGTCCAGACTCGATTATTTACAGACCGCCGTCATATAACTGGAATATTGCTGATCATCACATTATTATTGCAATCGACATCCTTCCTGTCAACTTGTGTAGGCAAGTGATACTGCTATTGGATGACAACAAATTTGTATATCCTACGAATGACGAGAAATTGTTTCATACCTAATGATGCGCACGTAAAATCTCTTACATCGCCCATTCACTCCAAGTTTGATTCAGCCAGAATACTCAGAACAAACGAGGTGAGGTAAAATGGGGTTGAACGTCGCGTCCAAGATTATTGCACTTATATAGCGACGTGCATGCACGTGTGTGTGTGTGTGTGGCTGGCTGCTTGTACTGGTCCGGACTAATGACGATTTTATAGTTCTACCCCATTGATAAAATCATGCCGTAGTTTTTACATGAATACCCCACTCAGACACAGTGTACTGACTCCGAGCCGACCAGTCCGTATTTAAGCCCCTTTCTGCTTAGGGCCAGACAGGGCGACAACAAATACCATCTTTTAACGTCATTTGGTATAACGCGGCCGGGGATCAAACCACGGACCTTCCGTTCTCCGGGCGGACGCTCTACCACTAGACCACGGAGGCGGTCAACTACAAACAAGCTGCAACACACGGAGATACGGAGAATCCACAAAAAGACACTCGGGTGATATTCTATTTATCATCCAAACTCGATTATTTCGTTCAGTTTGTGAACAGTTATAAACAGTGTCTTGAGTTAGAGTGTAAAAGTGTCGGAGCGATTAGTGATATCATTTGATTGTGACGTCATGGTAACCGAGGTCGAAAAACATTTTAAAAAATCGTTTTGAAACTTCTTTTATTCACAATCCAGCGCAGTGATGACGTGGCCAGACTTTGTAAACAAACGCGCTTATTCTGAAATCAGAACAGACTGGCCTATTGCAAGCCTTTTGGTTGCATTTAACATCTTGTTTTGCAAAATAGATAAGCTTCTATAACTGCGACAGTGAGGTGCATGGCAATATATATTTATCATCCAAAACTGGCTCCCACGGGAGATATCGCTTGGATTAGATCAAGCGATATCTACACTGTAGATATCGCTGCAATGAAATTACATCACAATGCTTTGCAGACCATTGTGAGGTCACTGTTACCATGACGTCATAATCAAATGACATCACTAATGGCTCTGCTACTGAAGCTGTTAGCAGTACCTTTTACACTGACGACACTGCTAATTACTGTCTACAAATTGAAAAAGTTGTAAGAATGATGTTGGATGATAAATAAAATCTCACCCTCGTGTCTTTTGATATCAAATATATCAACACTCGTTGATAAAAGTGGCAAAAATCCTAGGAATTTTTCCACTTTTATCAACGAGTGTTGATATATTTGATATCAAAAGACACGAGGGTGAGATTCTCTATTTATACATCAAAGTGACCGTATCGCAAGATCGGGGGCGGTCGGGTAGCCTAGTGGTTAAAGCGTTCGCTCGTCACGTCAAAGACCCGGGTTCCATTCCCGACTTGGGTACAATTCGTGAAGCCCATTTCTGGTGTTCCCCGCCGTGATATTGCTGGAATATTGCTAAAAGCGGCGTAAACCCATACTCACTCACTCACTAGATCTCCGTTGGGCTTCGATGACAGCACGTGGAGCCATACAACCAATGTAAACGAAGGCTAAATACGTATATGGAATTAGTAGTTCACGTTTTAGGGTATTTTCTCAATGCAAGTTAACCATTCTATGAAATATGTTTGTCTAAATATGTAATCTCGAACATGGGTAGACTAACCCTGGTGCAAGTGCAAGTAACGGCTATTTTTATTTATTCCTACAGCCATAAGCTCATGTCAGTCCTTTGTTCACAGCATGTCAGATAGTGCCATTGTATTGTTAAGGCGTTCGCTAATTCAAACGACAATGATTTTATTTCCACTCGGAACTAGTCGTTATCGACATAAGTCCGATATGCTACTCTGAATGCTTCACTCGAAAGTGCCAAGTTTGGTAAAGTTTGGTTTTCAATATTGTAGTACATGTATGGAATCAAGTCACAAAAACGCAACTGCTACAGAAAAGCATGCATTCCATGCAAAAGTTGACTTTTATGCAAGCCCCATGCATTTTACTACCCAAGAATGGGTATAAAAACATGTGCGATTCCATATGCATTGTTTAGCATCGTGCTAACAACAACCAATCAGAAAAAACAACAAAATTACGCAATTATTCAACATTACGAAATGCCACGTCTGGCCGAAAATGAGCGTCTGCGAGCCATTGGTATGCATGAAGCAGGATCGAATCAACAGGATATTGCAAGACAATTTAACGTCCAAAGAAACACCATTTGGTGTTAATGGCAACATTGGCAACAGGCGAATGCAGCCAGAGACCATCCCCGGAGTGACAGGCCACGCGTAACCAATAATCGACAAGACATCTGGATTCGACCAACACACCTACGAAATTGATTCCAGCCAGCAACTGTGACTGCAAGAAACATCCCTGGCCTTCGACGAATATCTTCAAAAACCGTACGTCGTCGCCTCAGATGTCCAGGGATTGTCGCCAGAAGACCCGCCAGACGTCCCATTTTGACAGGAAACCACCGTCAAGCACGTCTACAGTGGTGCAGACAGCGTCTACGCTGGACGGCCATGCAGCGGGGACAAGTTCTATTCACTGACGAGTCTCGTTTTCACCTCAGCCACAGCGATGGACGGATTCAAGTGTACCGACGTCGAGGAGAACGTTACGTCAATCATTGTGTCATGGAAGAAGATCGGTTCGGGGGCGGCAGCATTATGGTATGGGGTGGGATTACAGCAAGACAGAGGACCCGTTCGATAGTGGTAGAGGGAAATCTCAATGGACAGCGCTACCGCGACGAGATCATCGACCCTGTTGTTCTACCGTTTTTGCGTCGTCATGGCCCAGGCATTACCTTTCAACATGACAACGCCCGGCCTCATATTGCTCGACTTCTCTTCAACAAAACAACGTGAATGTCATCCCCTGGCCGGTATCCAGGACTATGTCTTCACGACTTCCAGATCATAGTTCCATTTTTACAGCCAAATCCCATGCCATTTTAACAGCTCTAAAATATATTGGTAAACAATTTAAGCATAAGCAATTTGTATTATTTTCAGACTCTCTCTCATGTCTTCAGGCTATCAAAATTATATCATGTAACTATCCACTTTTAATCCAAATTATTGAATTATATAATAAACTTGCTACTGGCCAATATGACATCGTCTTTTGTTGGTTACCCAGTAATGTTGGAATCACTGGGAACACAATGGCCGATGCTGCTGCAAAAGCAGCACTCAACAAATCTGTGACACCACTTCTGATCCCATATAGCGATAGCAAACCTGTTATTAGATGTTACATCAGAGATCAAATGCAACAGAAGTGGGACACTCAAGTAGGTATCAATAAATTACATGAAATTAAACCAAATATCGGTTACACCTTCTTGGGATGTAAGTCCAGATTTGAAGAGGTCATTTTACGACGATGTCGTATTGGCTATAGCAGATATACTCACGAATATTTATTAAAAGGTGAAGAACCTCGATTTTGTATCCCTTGTGATGAGAGAATCACGGTCAAGCATGTCCTGCTTGACTCTATTGATTTTGCCATCACAAGGGATAAATATTTCAAATCATCTTCTCTAAAGGATCTTTTTAACAATATTCATTCTCATTTAATTATTGGGTTTTTAAAAGAAATAGAATTGTAGAGAAGATTTTTATAATACGTCTTGTATAAAATGAATGACTTCTTAAAATTGGAAGAATGAATTTATATCTGAGTTTGTTATTGGCTGTATCCTCAAAGGGGGTTGACGTAGTGTAAAATGATTGTCCCCCTGAGAGGATATAGTAAGTCCATGTCATTCAAAGAATAGTTCTGCCTACTACACTTTTAAACGTAGTGTATTTATCATTTCAATTGTGGCTAACTTTGCGTACAATCGCTAGTTGCTGAAGGGATAATGTAAATCCTGCTGGGTTCCATGCAGGAAGCTAAAGTACTGTAAGTCCCCATGGTCCCTAGTATGGTGATCTACCTTCAGCTGCTGGCGATCTATAGCCCTTTTTTATATTGTACCGTTATTTATAGTGATATCTTTTTATAGTTGTATGCTAGTTTTAAATATTAATCTGTGGTATTCTAGTAATTTTACTGTCCATCGATGTTTTTATTTAGTTAAAATATATGTATTACAAATGTATTATTTCTCGTCACGATATGGCTGAAATATTGCCGTAAAGCATTAACTCACTCACTCACTAGTACTGTTGTTATCAGTTAACCTCCTCACGTTAATCCCTCTCATGTGTTATCATTGTTGTTACTGTTAATCCTCCACCTACCATATATATATAATTCTGTACCGTGCTCATTATTCAGTCTTGCTTGACAACGGTATAATGATCTATACCCAAGCGTCGCTGTTACAGTGTTATTAAGAAGTTGTTATCAATACACTTTGTACACAAATGTAAATAAAAACATATCCAGGTGAATTAGGTTAATAATTATTACAACAAAGTACATTTTGAGATCAGATTGCGCTCAAGACAACTATCTCACGAATCGGTATCCATGTATAATGCTCGTCAACGATGTCTCTGATTAGAAATTAAGTTTTTCTCCGTAGTTCATCTGTCCATTGGTGAATAACTCGATTGCTCTAAGTAAGTGCATCAGCCCCATGACGAGTGGAAGAAATGCATGCTTTCAATTTTGAATACGAATAGGTAGAATAAAGTTCAGAATTAATTGTGACTTCAAGCACAGCTGATCCTGTTCTTCTGGGGAATGGCTTGCCGGAAATCGCTGGGAGAGTTGTGTCCCTTATATGTCTTCTCGGAACCCGTTCACTCCCAACATATACACTGTATCCAGTGGTGAGAACTGTTTGTACTGGGAATGGCGAGGTAAGGTCACTTAACCATGGTGAGTACCGGCTGCCTGTTGGGACTGGTCAGTACTACAGAGTCTAACTGTCTGCACCCTGTAAAGTACCATAGGTCGAATCTGTGTGGCTTGTTGGAACACATCCCAGCAGATGGTCAATGCTACCACAACACCCACTTGAGTTTACTGGTCATCTTCCGCTCGTTGACTGGGATCCTTGGCACTTCCAAAATAGCACAAACAACATTTGACATGTCCCCTGAAAGGAGAAAACTTTTGATCAACATTCATACGAGCCAATCATTTCCATTATTGCCAGAGACTGTCTCAAGACACTTATTGGACCAATGGTATGATGTTGAACTGTATTATATCCGACACATATATCGATTATACAGCAAGAAAGGCAGTTTCTATCGACATCCAGGAATACAATTGTAAGCATTGTACTTGAGCTTCTGAATACATGGGATTATACAATACTAATTTTCTGATATATAAATAATTCTGTTGGTTAAAGCTGAGGTATGGAAAATGCAATCCCATAAGATTACAATTAGTTTATTAAAATACAACATTTCTGAAAACATGTTTGAGGGTTAAATAGCTAATATTCCGGACAGTGTAAGTTGGTTTCCAGGCGAGTAGTATCAATTTAATGGAAAAGTACCTTTCCGGAAGCGGAAGTCTTCCTCCCATTCTCCTGTTTCCGTGTTGTAAAACTCACATACATTGATTGGCTGTCCCGTCTCTAGACAACTTCCTCCTACCACATATAACTTCCTTCCTGTAAAGAACAAAATAAAATGGGTGAAGTCCACAAAGTGGCATGTAGAAAAGCTGATTATAGCAGGTGAAGTGAAATGGGGTAAAATGTCGCGTTTAAGGTTATTGCTCTTCAATAGCGAGGTGTGCGTATGTGCGTGCGGATGGCTGTTTGTACTAGTCCGGACTAATGCAGGTTTTATAGTGATAAGCCCACTGACATACAATGCCGGAGTTTGACATGGATACCCCACTCAGTATAGTGAGTGAGTGAGTATGGTTTTACGCCGCTTTTACCAAAATACCAGCAATATCACGGCGGGGGACACCACGGTGTAGCGACTCCGAGCCGACCAGTCATGGTAACAGGAAGTACAATATTTTAACGTCATTTCGTTTTGACGCGGACGAGGATCGAAACACCGATCTTTCGTTCTCCAGGCAGAGATGTTAGCAGGAAGGAGTGAGTGAGTGAGTGAGTTGGGTTTAACGCCGCTTTTAACAGTATTCCACTTTTATCACGGCGTGTCAGCTTAATCAGCTGAACTGATGCAGGTCTCAGACGTTTACCACTTCGGTGAAACCCACGAGCACAGGTATGGTGCTGAAATATAATCGGGGCGAACCGGGATTCGAACCCACAATAATAGGTTTCTGGCGCGCCCAAAGGACGCAACTGCACAGCGAATCGCGGCGCCTTAGACGACTGGGCCACCCGTGCCCCCAGGAAGGAGTGAGGAGAACGGACAGGACAGTGTACCTATTGTTGCTGTGCCGTGGCTGTGGCGGGCATGGTTCATGTTGGGCAGGTGAAATTCCCAGGGGCTGATCACGTCGTTCCTAGTCGAGCCGTCGCTGAGGGAGATGTTTGTCGTGAAGGAGAAGATGCGACGCTGGGTGGAATAATCTGGTTTGTCCGGGCACTTGCGGTCCGCTCGTGACGTCACGCCTAAAACAGTCCATGTATTGTGTAAGGTGCCATTTGCAAATAGAAGATTTGTATTAATGAAATATTGAAAAAAAAAATTTAAACCATGTAATTAGTACGTACAGACGGATTAGCCGTTTCCATTCTGTAACCATGATGTTTTTAGCTTAATAGTAAAGTAACTTGGATGTGAGAAACCAAGTCTTTCAGTTGTTCAACTAAGCGGAATTCCTTTGTCGGGTGGGAGTTCAGGGGAATTTTGTAATAGAGACTTACAACAGTCTCTTTGTATTGTAGAAAGCATGGTTTTTTAGCGGTATGACTATGGTATATCTCCACGTCGACTTAGGTCGCAATAACTATGCATAAGCTAGGCAGTCTATTCAGATGCGTCCTACAGAACGGATCGGTACTGACTGTAAGATGCACGGGCTAGCCATGTGTTACCGTTCCCAGATGGCAAAAACCCTTCCTCGAACCACTGGTTTGTCTGCTGGGCCCCGTACCACAAAGCGATATTAGCGCTACGACAGTCGTAAGTCTATGTTACTGTATGGGAGTAGCACAACGATCGCTTTGTGACACAGGGCCCAGGTCAAGATTCGCGTACTTACAAGAAGCCGTATAAGAACCACGATGGCTGGATACGGCGCGAAAAATATAACACCATTGACTCACAAGACACTTTTTGTTGTTTAACGCCACACCCAGCACTGTTTAAGCTGTATGACGGCGACCCGTATCTCATCGAATCTGGACCAGGCACTCCAGTGATTTGCATCCTTAGCCTCAATCCACGAGTGAGTGAGTGAGTATGTTTTACGCCGCTTTTAGCAATATTCCAGCAATATCACGGCGGGGGACACCAGAAATGGGCTTCACACATTGTACCCAAGTCGGGAATCTAACCCGGGTCTTCGGCGTGACGAACGAACGCTTTAACCACCAGGCTACCCGACCGCCCCCTCAATCCATGATGGCATGCAATCAACCAAGTCACCGAGCCTGGACACCGGATCCATTTTATCTGCCTATTTCAACAAGCATAGGTTGCTGGGGACCTGTATTTGTACCTGGAATCTCCACGTGTCGACTAGATACTGACCTCCAATGAAGTAGAATGTGTTGTCTAGAGTGGCTATGGTGAATCTGTCCAGCGGACAGGGCAGTGTGTGGGGGTAGTGTTCGTCCAGCTCCCGCCATGTGTGTTCCTCGTACACCCTAGGTACAGTAAAGTACGTTTATAACGAACACGCTTATAACGAACTGACGGATATAACGAACTGATTTTTTTGTCCCGACTATTTGCTATAGTTATGCTATATATATGCTTATCAGGAACTACGGTTATAACAAACTAAAGTTAGTGGTCCCTTTGAGTTCGTTACAACCGTAGTTTACTGTAGTAGTAATGGTAAGTAATCTGACGTACAAAAGAAAGTATACATTTGAAAGTTTGATTCGACCAAAAACTTACATACGTTGTCAAAACGTTACTAGGCTCAAACAGTCGCCGAAATACTGCAAACATTAAGTCCAAAATACAACCACATGTCTGATACCTGTATCAAATACGTCACAATCGATAACCACATTTTGTTTGTTTAATTTCAAGACACCATCAAACATGGCTGTATACTTTCTTTTGCACGGCAGTTTATGATATAGACATGAACAAATAATGGTCAGCAAGGCGACTTTCTGTATGGTGCAGATTGTTTTGTTTTTCAGACACTTTACATATCAACAACGTCCTCGGGTATTAAATTAACAACAACAACAACAACAACAACAATCCCCCCCCCCCCCCCCCCCCTTTTTCAAAAGTATGGATCCGCCCCTGTATAGACTAACATCAAATCTCTGAAATGAACACATCTTACATAAAAAAACAGTTGTTCAGTTATCTTAATAAAAATATAATAAAAAGGAGCCCAGTGACTCTCTTCATTTTCAGATACTGCAGTGATCTAGACTTGCCAAACATTATAGACTTGCATGGGCTGTATTTGATATATATTTGTATCAGGGTCTGTAAGATGCATTGCATCCCGGGAACGCAACACCCTCCGACTTGGTGTTCTATGATCAGGCTTTGTGAATACTTACTTACCATAAATTATCATGAGTTTTGTTGCCATGGTAACCACCTGCGCAGTAAATCTCATTATTGTACACTGCACATACGTGATTAGCACGTGCAGCCACCAGCATACCGGCCTTACACCACGTGTCTGTCTCTATGTCGTACACCTCACAACTTCCGGTCACGCGACAGTCACTCTTCTCTCCCCCTGTAATGTAAAACCGCGTTATAACGAGGTAGCCCAGGCAATCCGAGGGGGAAACTACAAACTACTACTTGTTATAAAACAACCCTTTATTACAGTGAGACCAGAAACCCCGCGTTTTTATGCCTGCAGTGCTCGCATTTCGGTAAACCTGTGCAGGTAGCAGAAGTATCGTAAGTCCCCACGGTCCCTAGAAAGGTGGTCTAACTTTGGTTGCTGGTGATCTATAGCCCATTTTTATATTGTATTGTTGAATGATAATGTATTCTTTTAAATATTCTAAACTAGTTTTAAAATCGAAACTGTGATACACTAGTTATTATACTGTCCATCGTTGACAGCTTTTTATACAATCTCGATATAATTATTATAACAGGGTATGAAACTCCCAAAAATTTCAGCCAGACCACAGGACTGGCTAGCTGAAATACTTGCCAGCCCTGACCAAAACCTGCCTGCCCACTATAATCATATGTTTCTCATGATAGGCTAACGGGGTTTCTTTTGGGTTACATTTTATCATTCATCTTTACATGTGAATTAATGCTTATCATCAGGAAATATTTAGAATATTTTCACATATGAAATATAACCCGACCGTCGGGCAGGGGGATTTGAAAATCTGGCAGCCCGAGTTGAAATCAGCCCGTCTCGGACGGTCGGGCAGGCAGGTATTTCGAACACTGATTATAACTGTTTCGTCACGATATGGCTGAAATACTGCCGATGTGACGTTAAATTTTACTCACTCACTCACTCACTCATTCGGCAAACCTAGACTAACCCCTGATCAATTCCTGTGGTTTTCGCGATCTCAAATTATCCGCCCTTGATTGTCGTTAGGCAATTTGATTTACTACGCAACCCAGTCTAACGGACCAATCACAATGCGAGTTACAAACCTGCCTAAATGTTGGGTAGGCGATATCAACAACATGGAGGTCAGTCCAATTGATTACGATAGAGTTTGCGAGAAATTCAACATTGACTGTCAATCAAAAGAAAGCCCTCAAAAATCTTTTGGAGAGAAAATATATCTTCATTTCCATTAAAACTGGCGGTGAAAGTCCCATTTCCTTGTCCCTTACCTCGACGTTTGATTGGTCAGTAAAATGTTAAATGTATCCTGGGGTTAGTTTAGGTTAAACGATGCGAGCCCATGAGATATGGGGGATGGCGTTTCTTGCAATTATACTGTAGGGAACGACCTATCTACACAGACCATTACCGTGTATTCTACGTGTCGTATTGACCAGAACGACTTCACTGAGAACTGCACTGTCTGGATTAACAAGGTTTCACTGTACATGTATCTACCTGAGACATATATCCTTCCGCCTTGTGCGCAGACACCACATTTTGCACGTGCAATCAACATGGGGGCGCACTCCACCCACAATCCCTCCGCAGGGTCGTATCTGAGGAAGAGAGATCCCCAAGAGAATGATAATATTATTCCAGTATTAAAAGCTGTTTACAAGATATCAGGTCAATGAAATAGTTTATTATGTTATTCAGTGATTGTTTTAGAAACAAATTGCACAAGGATATTTTCATGATTTAACAGATTTTTAATAGGTCATTTGCCTATATCATTACCAAATCGGAAACAAAAAAGTCAAAGACATTTTGGACGAAAGCCGACCCGAAACCCTCTAGTTATAGGCAGATAAAAGAGATTTAATCATTATCAGTTATGATTAGGAGGAAACGGAAAATATTCACAACATGGCATGAAAATGTTAGAGTGAGTGTGTTAGTGAGTTGGGTTTAACGCCGCTTTTAACATTATTCCAGTTATATCACGGCGTGTCAGCTTAATGTGGAAGGAAAGCCCGAAGTGATGCAGGTCTCAGACGTTTACCACTTCGGTGAAACCCACGAGCACGGGTATGGTGCTGACAAACCTAGTAACATAATCGGGGCGAACCGGGATTCGAACCCACAATCATAGGTTTCTGGCGTAATGGAGTCCTTGGACGGGTGGCCGTGTACGGCAAACTGACTCCTGTCCTGTCCCACACTAAAAGTTGGTTGGTTTGTTGTTTAACGCCGCACTCAGCAATATTCCAGCTATATGACGGCGGTCTGTAAATAATCGGGTCTGGATCAGACAATCCAGTGATTGATATCATGAGCATCGATCCACGCAATTGGGATCGATGACATGCATCAACCAAGTCAGCGAGCCTGACCACCCGATCCCGTTAGTCGCCTCTTACGACAAGCATAGTCGCCTTTTACGGCAAGAATGGGTTGCTGAAGACCTATTCTACCCCGGATCTTCACGGGTATGTCCCACACTAAAGCACATGTACAACATGTGGTGTCCCTTCAGGCATGTGGCTTTGTTCATCCAGCAGTGAAATGGTACCCGGTAGGATGAGGTGGTAATATGACGTAACCTTTAGCGCCACACTGGCAGCTTGGGTTGTATGGTACTTTATTGTTATTATTACCCCCCGTCCGGATACCGATTCGTCACTATTCTTGTATATAATAAGTATAAATTATCTCAATATCCCCTTTGCAATGTGACCCGTGAAGATCCGGGGTAGAATAAGTCTTCAGCAACCCATGCTTGCCGTAAAAGGCGACTATGCTTGTCGTAAGAGGCGACTAACGGGATCGGGTGTTCAGGCTCGCTGACTTGGTTGATGCATGTCATCGATCCCAATTGCATGGATCGATGCTCATGATGTCAATCACTGGATTGTCTGGTCCAGACTGGATTATTTACAGACCGCCGTCATATAGATGGAATATTGCTGAGTGCGGCGTTAAACAACAAACCAACCAACCTTTGCAATGTGGATCTTTATTACCGATCGACTTAATTAAACAGTCCGGCTATGCATTGAATACCACCACTGATGAATGTGAGGTCTTACAATGATATAATTAATAGAATCTTGGCATGATTTTTTGCAATTAATTCGTGACTAATTAAGTGTGGTACGATTTCGTCTTTGTGTGCGCGATAATTATTGTGACGGATCCATTGCCAGCTGTTGTACTCCAGATCGGACAACAGCACGCATGCTCACATCGACCGGTGTCACACAGGGTTATTGTATATTCTTCCTTGATAGAGTTCAGACATCGTATCTTTCTGTGTAGTACTCGAGTGATTTTGAAACCTCCTGCGACCGCCTCGGTGGTCGAGTGGATAGAACGTCTGCTCGGAGAGTGGAAGGTCGGTGGTTCGATCCCTGGTCATGTCATACCAAAAGATGTACGTTAAAAGATGGTACTTGTTGTTACCCTGCCCGTCGCTCGGCATTAAGGAGATGAAACAAGTGGTCGGCTCGGCGTCAGAATACCAGCTGTTTACGCTTGAGAGGGTAATGGCATGTATCTAATGGTGGGCTAGCACTATGGAACCGGCATTAGTCACACTAGTCTGACACTTAACATATGACTGATAAATAACATTTTGTTTCATTCAACAATTGACTTCGGGCTTTCCTTCCACATTAAGCTGACACGCCGTGATATAACTGGAATACTGTTAAAAGCGGCGTTAAACCCAACCCACTCACTCACTCATTCAACAATTTGGGTTTGGGACGATTAATAACATCAGATGCAGCTGATATAGGTTAGAGTCATTCTCATTTCCAGTAAATATTTGACCCACATATTTATTTAAAGTTTTGTTAGTTTTTCGCATATTTTATCATGCGGAATCTTAATATTTCGCTATATCTAAATATGTTTTTTTCTTGGGGCGTTCAATTTATACACTTACCTGAGAACCCTGTTGAGATGCTGAGCCCGACTCCTGTCAAAACCCCCGACGATGTACAGGAAGTTGTCCACGACCACCACGCCAAAGTTCATGATGTCCACAAGAGGCTTCCATACTTCAATGTGGGTCCTATACATATGGATGTCGCTCCTGTCGGGGGTGAGCAGCAGGTAGTGCGCCTCCCCCGTCCCCCCGCGGTTCAGGACATACAGACGCGCCTCACTGCCTCTCTCCCCTCCCCACCCCCCATTCTCCGCCGGACCGTCTTCGTAGGAGGAGCCGGTGCTGGAGACGTCGTCGAGAGGAGAGGCATTGCTGACCACGAACTTGGCCATTGCCTCAATAGTGTTATTGTGCGTTGCTGCGGTCAGTGCTATGTGTTAAGTATCGTCATCCCGCTGTCTTGTAGCTTGAATGACCCATCTATGCTATATCCAAACACGACGTCTGTGACAACCAACACAACATCGATGTGGATCCAAACTACGCCGTTGGGGAACAATTTTACGTTAATGGGAACAAAACGACGTCAATGGGGAACGGTGCTCATCAGCCTTGCTCCATGGCAAACGTATGCCAGTATGCCACTGGGCACGTGTTCTAATTAACTGCAGATGGAAATATCCGGGCACTTTTGTTTGGTGTCTGAAAATATAAAACACAAAATAAACATGACAAAGAATGACAACCAGATTGTGCAAAATCGTCTTCAGTATATGCATTGCTGGTGCAGGTGCATGTGCATTAGCTATGCACGTGATTCTTTGTAAATCACGTGCGGAGTTGTTAAGTACAGTTCTGCTACCTCCAAGTACACAATTTAAATACCCCAACTCTACTGTCAGCCAGTTCGTTCAGTTTCACAGAATCTTAGGTTTAAACAAATGCAAAATTACATTCTTTTAGAAAGCCATTTAGTCATTTCGGTGTAATATATTCTGACATGGTCGTTATTAACTTCAGCAATCGCGGCAACGGATATTCAGTCCGTCTGCTGTATAATCCCGTCTCTGCCGGTGCACCCACTGTATGCACTCATGACGTTGAGAACAAAGCAGGTGCGTGCACCAACAGAACGCTCTCAACGCTCAAAACATACTTACACTTTCTTATGGAGTCAAAAGTTACCATTTAAAAGCCACAAGTCAAAAGATCCTGAATACTCTAACTAGAAACTAATAATAATTATTGTATTGCGTATACTTGTGTATATACCCAGTCTTTGTACTATAACATGACTTGGGGAGTATAATCTCGGCCCAGCCTCTGTCTAGAGGGAGTTTAGCTGCGATATTGAAAGCGATAAGTCGTAGTTGATACGATTCCAATGACCAATCAAGATCATTTATTTCTTCACCCCGCCATATTGAGACGGCTAGAGGCACTGGCTGATTTACAGTGGGTATCCACCATGGAATGTGGCGGTGTCATTAAACATACGGAAAGATAAAATTGCTTGCAATACCTACACTATGAACTTCAGAGGCGGATCCAGGATTTTGAAACAGATGGGTGCACATAATACCCAAGGCCCGAAGTGACTTAGGCGCAGTTTACATGTAAGATGTCTGAAAAAAAGAGATTGTGGTGGGAAGGGGTGGGTGGTGGTAGCTGTGATAGTCAAAAATCGCACTGCTAGTTTAGATGGTTCCAAAATTGTTTTAGAATCCTATCATTTATCCAGATAAAATCACAACACGTGCAACACATTCCTTGGTTCACGAATTACCCAGAAGAAACAAATCTATTAGCTTCCTATTTATAGACAGTTCATTTTCCCGAGGCAAGGGAGTTAACCGACTGTAAAAGTCCAGTGGAAAGGGAGTTAACTGAGTGTTTCCACTGGACTTTTACAGTCAGTTAACTCCCTTGCCTCGGGAAGATGTAAACAGTCATATAAAAACCTTACATTTGAATGAACGTTTTATGTAACATTTTCAGTAAACAAGATTATAGAATTTTTACAAAACTGTACAGATACCAGCTTATCAAATGATGACATGTTTATTTAATATATATTCCCCTGCCGACCGACTTTCATTCAACAACAACACAAAATGTGCATTAAGAGTCATTAAAAGACGAAACGTCATATGGCATGTCCACGAATTTGTTACAGCTTTGTTATCTTTCCCTTCTTAAAGGGAGGGACTGTCACTTGACTGTTAGCTGTGGGGTAGGAACAATAACAAAAGACACATACTGGCACCAAAATATGGCTGAAATATTGCCGATGTAACGTAAAGCATAAACTCACTCCTTCACTTCTGTCACCAACAGTAAAACTATGCCTCCCTGGGTCCATTTATTGTGCACAACATGTGCTTATTGTCATGCGTCTTTTAGGGTCAGTGATTGATATCATGAGCATCGATCCACGCAACTGGGATACGATGACATGCATCAACCAAGTCAGCAAGTCTGACCACCTAATCCCGTAAGTCCTCCATACCATCTTTGACCTGAATCCCTGGACGTTCAAGATTGGATATACTTGTTCTCTGATAGCCTTCAAGAAAAGCAAGATGATGTCAACTTATGTAATTTGTCTTGTATATACCGTATGATTAGATCACTAACCTCGTGAGATAGTCAGACTTGCTCTCAGCTGTCGCTTACAAAAACAAAAACGTGTCATAAAGCGGAAAAGTAAGTGAGTTTGATTTTACGCCGCTTTTAGCAATACCCTAGCAATATCACGGCGGGGGGACACCAGAAATGGGCTTCACACATTGTACCCATGTCAGGAATCGAACCCGGGTCTTCGGCGTGACTAGCGAACGCTTTAACCACTAGGCTGCCCGACAGCCCCAAAGCGGCAAAGTGGTGAGGTGAGGTGAAATTGGGATTAACGTCGCGTCCAAGATTATTGCACTTATATAGCGACGTGCATGCACGTGTGTGTGTGGCTGCTTGTACTAGTCCGGACTGATGCCGATTTATAGTGCTAGCACACTGAGATACCATGCCGCAGTTTAACATGAATACCCCACTCAGACACAGTATACTGACTCCGAGCCGACCAGTCCTTGTTTAAGCCCCTTAATGCCGAGCGCCAGACAGGGTAACAACAAGTACCATCTTTTAACGTCTTTTGGTATGATGCGACCGGGGATCGAACCCCGGACCTTCCGCTCTCCGGGCGGACGCTCTACCGCAAGACCACTGAGGCGGTCCCAAAGCGGCAAAGTAGTCTCATTGGATTTCTTTTAGCATTGTAACGTCTTGTGTCATGCCATTTCGACTCATGTTTGTTTCAACAAACAAGTATAGAATCTTTACAAAAACAGGTATAGTACACAGGCGGTTCCGGGGTAGGGGGTATAGTTTGTTGTTGGGAGTAAACTTGACTGAGAGATATGCCCTTTTAGTATCGACAACGAGTATATTGTCCAACCAGAACGGGGGCTGATTGTCCCACGGATTGTGATTCAAACATTGCCATCAGATCGCCAGCTACCAGAGGTTGTAAACAATATTCTATATATTTACACTTGGCCTGGTGAGTATATTGCATGGGACCCATGTTTGGACGAGGCTGGCGCGTCCCCCTTTATAGCCCCTATATGTACACACATTAGTCCGTGTGTCTCCACCGAGGGTGGTAAAAGCGTCATAAAGCACGCTTCCCACACTTCCTGGGCCGAACACCGACACGGGTACAATGACCCTGGGTTGTGTCTAAATACTGACTCTATAAACTTGCATGTACAACACTAGTTGCCATAATAGGTGAGGTGAAATGGGGTTTAACGTCGCGTCCAAGATTTTTGCAGTTGCGACGTACATGTACATGTACGTGTAGGTGTGTGTGTGACTGATGCCGATTAATAGTGCTAGCACACTGAGATACCATGCATGTCGCAGTTTAACATGAATACCCCACTCAGACACAGTATACTGACTCCGAGCCGACCAGTCCTTGTTTTAGCCCCTTACTGCCGAGCGCCAGACAGGGTAACAAGTACCATCTTTTAACGTCTTTTGGTATGACGCGGCTGGGGATCGAACCCCGGACCTTCCGCTCTCCGGGCGGACGCTCTACCATTAGACCACTGAGGCGGTCCCAGTTGCCATTATAAATACTAACCAGTAAACAGAAAGAGGTTGTATTCGCAAAAGAGAGGGTGTACACCTTATTCTTTTTTAATCTGCGTACCAAATACAATTTTATTTGCGTCCCTCATACCACACTGCGGAGTCCCGAATATCTTCCGAATGGACCTCTGAATCCCGTGAACAAAAAGGGAGTTGGCAGCAACATGTTGGATGTTAGATTTGCCTTAGGCCGATTCAGTGAAAAGTGAAAAGCCAATATATTTTTTAACAGTATTTCAATTAATGTGAGCTGACAAACCAACAAACAATCACGTTGAATATGGGATTTGACCCACGATCTGGCGTGCCACATCTGAAAAGCACAGCACAACACAACACAGACACACACACACACGCAACACAGACACATAAACCTCACACACACCAGACAAAAGATACCACACAAACACACCAGACACACACACCAGACACACACACACACACACCAGACACAGTTAGATACCACACAAACACACCAGAGACACACACACACATCCTCTGAATCCCGTGAACAAAAAGGGAGTTGGCAGCAACATGTTGGATGTTAGATTTGCCTTAGGCCGATTCAGTGAAAAGTGAAAAGCCAATATATTTTTTAACAGTATTTCAATTAATGTGAGCTGACAAACCAACAAACAATCACGTTGAATATGGGATTTGACCCACGATCTGGCGTGCCACATCTGAAAAGCACAGCACAACACAACACAGACACACACACACACGCAACACAGACACATAAACCTCACACACACCAGACAAAAGATACCACACAAACACACCAGACACACACACCAGACACACACACACACACACCAGACACAGTTAGATACCACACAAACACACCAGAGACACACACACACATCCACACACCAGACACACACACCAGACACAGTTAGATACCACACAAACACACCAGACACACACCACACACTAGACACACACACACACACACACGACACAGCAACACCACACGCACACACACAGACCAGACACATACCACTGACACACACCACGCACGCACGCACAAACACACCAGACACACATACACACCGCTGACGTAAACACACACACACACAAACACACCTTACGTAAACACACACACACACACACACACACACACCAGACACAGTTAGATACCACACAAGCACATCAGACACACACCAGACACTAGACACACACACATACACCACACAAACACACAGAGACCACACACACACACACACACACACACACACACACACACACACACACACACACACACACACACACACACACACACACACACACACACACACACACACACACACACACACACACACACACACACCGTGGCCCCCGAGGTAAGTGGCTGATGGATAAATCCTGAACTTCGAGATACAAGAAAATACTCGACATTTATCTCTGTGTATTCTACTCAGTCTAGACACTATGAATATGGTACGGCCACCCACACACCCACACACTGAACATACCTTTTTCGCCTTTACAAAAAAGACATACATCGCACTTTAAAACATTTTAGATATTATCATCGAAGATTCCAGAAAATGAGTTCGATCTGGTCTTTGAAAAACAATATTATAAGCTTTAATTCTTCATGTTTTGCAAGACAAACAGACCGACGCATTTCAAAGTTCTTGTGACGTGATACTGAGCTTAAACATAGACACGTGTTGAGGGATAGGCCAGTTGTAGTCCACCACACCTGTTGTAGTCCACCTCGCCTGTTGTGGTGGTGGAGTTGATTGATATCGATCCAAGGTCAATACTATTTGTACCTCTGATCAGTGGCCCGGCTTTGCATTGACACCCCGACTAACACATACCGGGGACAATATGTAAACAACTTGTGTAAAACTCCCAATGATAGTGTGTTTAAGTACATATTTACTTAAGAATTTTATTGCTTTACTTAGGGCTTATGGGCTGAATAAAGAAAGTCGCCTTACGCTGAGAGCATTATTCCAGTACATTACCGCGTTCACCTTAACGCTCAGACCAAGGGACTAAACTAGGCGGGGGGATTCATGATCAGTCGGAACAGGTGTGGATTATATAAGGACCGATCATCTTAGTTTCAGTGAGAGAGTGCTCGGGTTGATGCGTGAGACAAATTATTCAAGTTTTCGTGATGTCTTCGTTCAGTGTAATTTGATGATGATCTGCTGCGCCAGACAATGTGCATGGCATCCGCAATTCCTCAATAAACCTTGGTCTCATCTAGCATTTTATTCATTTTATGCTAAAGTTCTTTCCTGTAATTGTTTCCATTTTTGTATGTAAATTTATATTTAAAATACGTAAGCAAAATTCGATTCCCAAACAACCCTTTGTAAATATTATACGTACTACAAATAACAAAATGTCCATTTTAGCGTCTGGCCAGTTGCGTTAAGCGATGTAAACACGTTTCGACCTTTAAGTTATGTTGGTATCGGTCTTTAAGTTACGTTGGTATCGGTCTTTA